GCAACACTAATCAAACACACCTGAACATGCTAATCAGAGTCTTCAAGATCACTAGAAATCTAAAAGCAGGTGTGTGTGATTAGAGCTGGAGCTAAACTGTGCAGGACACCGGCCCTCCAGGATCAAGTTTGTCCACCCCTGGTATATAGTATACTACACTTTAGTATGGTTTAAAAACACGGTAGTATTTACATTAAATCATTAAATTATTATTTTTGTGTGCAATGAGTGAGAAAAATGGCTATATTTGAATGTAAACAATGAAGATTACAAATTCAGTAATGTGTGTTGAAATATATGTTGAACATATGTTGAATGTTAAAACATCTTAAGGATTTTGACTGTTTGTGTTTCAGTTGAAAGCAAAGAGGAGTGATTGTAACTCTAAAGCAACGCACGCGAGGAATGAGTATCTTCTTACACTGGCGGCCGCCAACGCACATCACGACCGCTACTACCAGACCGACCTGGTCAACTGCATCAAGGTGAGCACAGCGATGTAGTGTTAGTTTAGTCTTATTTATACACTGTAACAGAATTGTTGTCAGTGTTTTTGGAGTACATGAGGCTTAAAAGTAGGCATATGACAGTAATGTGTAATAAACACCAGTTGAAGTAAAATATATATATTAATGATGCTGTTATAAAACAGGCTGGGATGTATTTGTTTGTCAAGTTGTCATAACAAACAATGGGCCCCATCATAGACTCAGTGCAATTAGGCGCAGGGCGTTTTTGGTGTGATTTGTTGCTATTTTCAGACCAGCGCAACCCTAATTTTCACGTTTTGCTCCACGTTGTTTAAATAGCAATTTCATTTGCCTCACGTTGTGGACTTATGGGCGCACATCACGTGACCACACACACACTCTCGGGCAAGCGCTGCAGCCCATCTACCCAGATGAGAGCTCTGCTAGTCGGACTTCTCATCAAGCATCTCCCGCTGGATTTAATCTCACTATATTTATTAAACGGGATATTTCATTCATCTTGTTGTCTTTATCTAACGACATGTTCCCTGACTTTGGTCATTGGAATCTACTATTGTTTTCAGGTAACATGTTTTGGCTGAGCGCAAAGATAAGTTAATGATTAATGTAAGCACGTAGCCTATTCTGTATATTGAATGATCGTTTGCCTTTATTTCCTTTAATGTAAACACTTATTGTATGTTATACTTTTATAATGGCCATTATTGATTATTAAAACTGATATTCAGCAAAAGAGAGGGTATGTTTCGTATTTTCACTGAAATTGAAAGGAGGCAGTTGTTATAGGCTCCGTCTTGTTATAAATATCCACACAGTGAAGATGACGCTCATATATGCAGCACGACACCTCAACATTTCTGCTGTCTGTTAAGTTGCTAATATTAAAATGAAAATAGGCATTTTTAACTTTAATCATGTTTCCATTTTATTGTTGAGAAAGTTAAAAAACGTAGCCAGGGTGATGTGAATGAAGTTATAAAGTACACAGTTTTCTTTGAAGATTTACCCGTGTCCTCGATAGTCTGTTTTCCATATTAAACTGAAAAGAGGAGACTGCAGTCTTGATCAAACTTGCGAAGTCTGAACCTACAAGAAGAGGATGCAGGACTGAACTGTGTGTGTTAGGCTACTTAATATTGAGGAAAAGCCCCAATCAGAGAGGCGAATGTCTGCAGCCCCGCCTCCGTTTTCAGATGTCTCCGTTTTCCATCATCCACACTGAGACGGAGCAGAAGCGTTTCAGAATGAAAACGGCCTCTCCAGCGTTTTCGAAATGCTCCGTTTTTCGGCGCTTGAGAACTCCGGCGTAGTGTGGACGGTTGGCGTAACCGTAGCAAAACTTATGCGTTTTCAAACTAAAACGCATTAGTGTAAACGGGGCCTAAGTTCAGTTTAGCTCAGTTTAGTGTGGTTTAATATTCACTACTGAGAGTCCAAACACTGAAGAGCAATCCATCAATGCGCAGCTCTACAGATCCCGAACCATGCAAGCCAGTTGCGACAGCGGCGAGGAAAAAACGTAACCAATTTGCGAAAATGAAGAATTAAAATACCTTGAGAAAAACCAGGCTCAGTTGGACACGACCATTTCTCCTATAGCTAAACGTCTTCTGCAGAGGAGCAGTCTAGGCACCAGAGGCTGGAGAAGGCTGGACCTCAGCGAAGACTCATCTGTCCCTGGAGTGTAACAGGGAATCAGTCTCATGCTCTCCACTCCTCCATGACTACCACAGCAGCTGCTCAGGATACGTCCTGGTCCAGGATTATGAAATTGGACAGGTGTACCTAATAAAGTGGCCAATGCATGTATGAATAGGAGTGAAGCTATGTAACTTCGTGATAATGATAAATGGCGGATGTCTGAATTCCTTTTATACTCTATAGTACACACTTTTCTAATGGTTGTTTAGTAAATTCAAATGTAGCACAAACTCCAGGGCTGCGTCTGAAATTCAATTCAATTCACCTTTATTTGTGTAGCGCTTTTACAATGTAGATTGTGTCAAAGCAGCTTCACATAAAAGATCATAGTAAATAGAAATAGAGTCAGTTAAATTTTTAGAGTTCTAGTTCAGTTCAGTTTAGCTCAGTTCAGTGTGGTTTAATAATCACTATAGAGAGTCCAAACACTGAAGAGCAAATCCATCGATGCGTAGCTCTACAGATCCCGAACCATGCAAGCTAGTGGCGACAGCAGCGAAGAAAAAAAAAAACTTCACTAATTGTCAAATGTGAAGGGAAAAAAAACCTTGAGAGAAACCAGACTCGGTTGGGCACGACCGTTTCCATTTCTCTGCTGGCCAAACGTCTTGTGCAGAGCTGCAGTCACAGTGGCAGAGGCTGGAAGCTGAACCTCAGCGAAGACTCGGCTCTTCCTGGAGCCTCACAGGAATCAGTCTCATGCTCTCCACTCCTCCATGACCACCACAGCAGCTGCTCAGGATACGGTCTGGTCCAGGATTATGGAAACCTTGGGATCATATTGCCGCGGGTCTTGGATCAAATCAGTGGCGCTGCATAGCCTGAAGACATCGGGATGAGTATCCCCATGTGGAAATAGGGAATAGAGAGAATGATTAGCGTAGCTGCTGTTCATAGTGTATACAAAAGAGATGCAAAACCCTGCATGGAGCACATACACATGCATAGAATCTCATTCACATTCCTAAAGTGTAATATGATGATCATAAAGGTTTCATGACAGTTTTATGAACACCCCCTTAAAGGGCCATGAAACCCCCTCATTCAGCAGGGTGTTTTCACACCTCTACTTTGGAAAAAGTCAGAAAAGTGGGCGTGTCCAGCTCTGATTAGGGGGGAGTGTCGGAGGAAGAAAAGAAGCTTGGATGTGGGAGTGTCTATTTGGGCGTGCTGAATTTCAGAGTCAAAACACACAACCACAGCGGACACTGTGACTGTGTTTACATGGACATCTGTTGTCGAATTATTTGCCAAATTATTAAATGGTGGACTTTAACTGCAGTTTGGCTCTTTCATTCAGAGAATTCATTCATGTCCCTCCCGACAAACGAGATATTTGATTCGAGGAACTGCTCTAAGCGTGTATTTTCATGCAATGTTTGATACCGCTCGGCGAATGAGAGAAAAAAAACCTCAGCATTTCCCGGAAACTTAGATGCACACGGCAGCTAGCGTCAGAAAGCTACATGTGTTATTCCGGTCACAAAATCCAACACGAGGTTATAGTTTGGTTGTAACTGTTAGTGCTAACTTGTTTACACTGGTGCAATAGTTTGTTTGATACGAATAAAATACGAACTGAATAAACAAAGAGCGCTGGTGGCTCACTTACCAAATCTGTAGAGACAGGACAATCACCAGCAACTACTAGAGCCGCGTCTTTATTTAGAGGAGACTACAAGCCAATCCGGATCTCAGCGTTTGCAGATGAGAACAGCTCTCAGGTAAACAATAATCCTCCTTAGACACGTAAGTTATTGTTGTCGAGCGTCGCGTACACTGTTAATCCACACGTGAGTCTGAGCTCTCACAGAGAGAAAAGGAAAACGAAACTTAACTGCAGCAAACTATAAAAGCAACACTTCACGCTTGTTTTGCCAACACAACGTGGCGTCTCTGCCGTCTGCACTCTGACAGCAATGAATATTAATGAAGTTGCACAATAGAGCGCGCTGATTGGTTTGAACCAAGCCTTACTCATGCATTAATGCAACATACTGTAAGACGTAATAAGACACACTCTGGCACAGACGTCCAGTCTGCACGCTGGAATACACGCTATTATGTCATGACCGTGACGCAGCTTCAAAAATTCGTTGCAAACAGGAAGTACGAATTTGCTTGAAATAACGCAAAAACAACCAATTTACACTTTTTAGTGAAATATAGGTGTCCTAATAGTGTTTTTAGCAGTGTGGGACACATATACCACTGTCAACAGCTCAAAACATGTGTTTTGGTGTTTCGTGACCCTTTAAGTAAAGTTTTAGATGTGAATTAAATGACTTCTAATAAAGTCATTTAGATGTCATTATTGTAATAATGTGACCATTTTTAGGTAATGATAGTGGCATCTATGCAGGAATCCTGCATCATAAGTGAATAAAAGAAATAATTGATTTAAAGCATTTTATGAATTCTTTAGCACACAGGAGTAATGAACGTCTGATTGTACATCGTTTACTCAGTGCTTGATTTGATTTCTCTGAATACTCGAGAGTTGGTGCATATTTCATCTGAAGGTTTTGGATGAGTCATTTGTTGGCACGAGTCTGGTACAGTGGGTCAGGCGATGATGTCATCTTTGGGCAGATCAAACTATGCACTTCCTGTCTCCAAAACTCCCTCTCTGTGAGAAACAACTGGGAAAGAGCCGTCCAGTCTCATGTCACTCAGTGTTTTTGTGTGCATTTGAAGGGATCAGAAATACACCATGTCTGTTTGTGTTTTAAAAAGAAGAGTGATTAATCTCCTGTGGTGTGTGTAATAAGCTGATCTGGGAACAGTTTTGATCATTGTTTTGAGCATGTAAACAGTGTGTCTGGCTGGTGTTGTTGTTTGTGTGTTGCGCAGATGTTGAATGCATGTGACGGCTGATTGCGTAATTGAATGGTTGGTGTTTGCGGTCCTGCATTTCTGCCGGTGTGTGTAATGGACAGAAGTTGGCTGAACACTGAAGCACGTCTGGTATGCGTTCAGCTCAAGCTCACAGAATAACACTGACACTGCTGCACTCTGGAGCTTCAGTGATGAGATGAGGCAGTTGCAGGACGTTTGATTTACAAATCAAAACTCGATGGATCTGTCATGTAGGATTTACTGTTGACGGGCTGGAGCTGCAGCGTCAGTGACTGCAGAGAAAATCTGTTTTCTTAATGTATCGCTCAAACTGATATGTAGATAGTTTTGTGTGACTTGTTTGTTTTTTATTTTTGGTTCGGTCTTTGTTTGGTTTGGTTTGGTGTTCATGATTTTTGGTTTGGTTTGGTTAGGTTTTAATTGGTTTGGGTTGG